AGGACAGAGAAGGAGGGACTGAGGAGAGAGAAGAAGAAGTGTGGAAGGAGGAGATTGAAGAAGAAGACAGACATAGCCGCAGGTGAACACACAAAAAAAAAAAACAAAAAAAAAACAGCGAAAGAGAAGAAGAAAGAAAGTGAAGGAAGGGGAAGTAGACGGCGAGGGTGACGAAGGTGAAGGTGCCGGCAGCCATAGCCGAGGTGAGGAGTTGACCGGGCGCTGACCAGACCGTTGACCAGAGGGTTGACCAAGGGTTGACCAAGGGTTGACCAGAGGGTTGATCGGGCGTTGACCAAGGTGGTTGACCAAGCATTGACTGAGGGTTGTCCGTGTTGACTCACCGTTGACCAAGGCGTTGACTGGAGATGCTGACCAAGATTTTGACCAAGCTGGAGTTGGTGATATCTCGCTGAGCCCTAACCTATCCCCTTACCCTGCGGATGTGCACTCACCCTACGATACTTGCTGAGTTGAGTTTGTCTGTCTTTCCTTTCTGCATTGAGTCTCTTCTGTCCTAGGTGTTAGGACTCTGTGGATGAAGGATAGGGCCTTGCTGCCAAACCTGCACGGGCTTAGTAGGACCAAAGCTCTACGCTGGCACTTGGAGACCTGGGCATGAGCGGCGAGCGCTCGTTAAACAACTCGTCTAGCCCAATGACCGGTACTGTCCGGCAGGTCTACTGAGTTCAGTGTAGAGGGTCTGAACTCCGAGCTGTAGGCTGAAACGGGGGCCGTCTTTAAGTGTTGAGGCCTGGTTGAGCCACTCCCCTACCGGACCTACTACAGCTGATGATCTGTGTCTGACGACTCGACTGTCCCGAGGGATACGAACCCCTCCAAGGACCGGTACAGACCGGCGGGCTGCTCGGTGTGGCACAGTAGGCTGGAAAGGCTGAGTTGTGGGCTGAAATCGCCAGAGGAACCAAGCTGATCACGTCGTCCTGTCTGCGACGTTAAAGAATTCTTGCGGAGTTTGGGGGATCTCCTTAAATGCCTCCTGATCAACTTTGGGTTCGGTAGTGACAGCCTTAGAGTAGTTGTGAGTAGTGGATCTTAGAGAGTTAGTCAATAGGTCAGTGTGTCCGGGTAGGTCTAAGTGGTGAGGAGTGGGACGTTGTCGTGCACCTGACGCCACAATGGACGACTATCCGATGTATGGGTTGCTGGTTGGGTTCTCTCTCTGGGGGACCCTCTGGCGTCTCCTCTTTCCTCTGGGCTTTTGGCCCACTTTCACGTGTAGAGTAGGGCCCACTCGTGGTGGTACTTCCACCAGCCCCTAAACGAAGGAGGAGGAGAAGATGGCCGCCATTTTGCAGGAGAGGAAGGAGAAGAAGGAGGCCAAGAAGAAGGCCTTGAAGGAGGAGCAGGCGGCCAAATTGAAGAATATAGAAGAAGAGATGGCCAAAGAGAAGGAGAGGATAAAGAAGGAAGAGGAGGCGAAGTTGAAAGAGGTGGACGAGGAAGAAGAGGAAGGGCCGCCACTGCAAAGGAAGAGTGGGCAGAACAGTGGCAGCAAGGATGAAGAAATGGAGAAGCGGATTTCAGAATGGGTCGCCAACTTGTCCTTGGGTGAAGAGGAAGAGGTTGCTATGTATATCCCCAAGGATGAGCAAGAAGCCACCATGAACAAATGGGAAGCAGAGGAAGATGTTCTGACGCGGCGGGCGATGGAAGATGAACAGAGGATGGCGTGGAAGCTCGCAATGATGAGGGAGAAGAAGAGAAGAGTGGAGGCAGCGAATGCAGCAATACAGGAATTGGAGGAGGTGCAGAAATTGAGGTTACAATTGACACCCCAGGTAGATCTCGAGCGGAAGGTGGAGATCATCGCCCAGAGCGTCGAGCGTTTAGCCAAAGTGCAAGAATAACACTATGAGTTTAGTCGCAGCCAGGAAATATCGGTGCGTTCGATGCGAACGGGATTACGGGACTTTGCTCGCGAGTTAGTAGGCGCTGTGGGGTCCGAGGTGAGTCATCGCCTCGAGAAGACTGAGCGTTTTTGTGTCAGCGCCATTGAGGGCGTCAAGGTGGCAGCTCCCAAGGAGGAGGAAACTCGTCCTCGCAGGGAGCCAGTCAAAGTCAAATTCCCTGATTCCTACAGTGGAAAAAGGGAAGAGAACTTTGACAATTGGGAGGCCAGCGTTAGGACCTATGTGCATTTGCAACAGGTCTCCCCGGACCAGCAGGTCCTAATTGCATTCCACGCGCTTAAGGATGAGGCCGCTAGTTTTGCAAGGTCCCTTGTTCGCGCTGCTAACTGCAGTGACGATCCAGTTGCATACTCCACATTCACCCCCCTCGTTGAGTTCCTGAAATTGCTGCGCGAGCGATTTGCTGATGTCGCTCGTAGTGTTAAAGCGTCAGATAGGCTGCAGACGATCCACGCCCGCAAGTGGAAGAGTGTCAGGGCACTCAAGAGTACAATGGATGAGTTAGTGGCTGTCCCTGACCATGGGGTTACGGACACCCAGTTGGTCGGCCTCTTCTATCGGGCCATACCCG